AGGTAAAGAGAAAGCAGGGAGAAACACTTTGAAACACATTCTCTCTTCAGATATTCGATCACGCAGAGAAACGTCTTCCCTGATGCCTGTTGAATGCCAGGGTTGCAGACTTCATAGAAGAGAGCCTGGTACAACATTCTCTAACCTTGAATTGATTTGCTGCCCTTCGCATCTCTCTACACGGTTTTAAGTGTCAGGTTCTTTACAGCTACTTTCTCCTTGTACTGATGAATAGAAAATCATTTCTCTTTTGTGCTGACAGAGCCCTGATTATTAACTGGGGTCACAACATCTTCCTCTACTATTGCATCAACTCTGTGGAAAGTCGTAGCTTTATTCATAGGAGTATTATTTAAGCAAATCCATGGGAACAGAGATGCGGATAGTTAGCTAGATTTTCTCCCCGTAATTCAGCAGTGAGACTATGTAAGTGAGGTGGGACCTTGTCAGTTTACTCTTGTGCGGTGTGAGCTTCATTAAAACCTCAGTCTGTACCAGCTTATGACTCTGTGTCTCCCGCTGTCACCATATAGAGCAGCAGGCTCTTTCCAGGCAGATCTTACTATGGTAATTACAGAAGGACTGATGTGTACCACATATTACCACAGACAGGTTGACGAGGTCAGGTCAGAAAGAATTCTGTGGTAAAGAAGTGAGAGACAAAAGGCAGAATGGTATGTACAGCTGAGCTAAAAAATACTAGGCAAGAAAGGGTGACAGAGATGGGACACTCACAGATGCCTTTATTCCTGTGCTGGGGCTCAGTGACTGCAGAGAACACGAGGTCTAAGAAAGAGGGTAATAATTGGGCATTGGAAATCAGCACTGGGTCAGAACTTTCTGTTTCTTTCAAACACCACTCTTCATTAGGTAACTCCCTGGAGAACCTGTTTGAATCAAGAATTCTCTAAAGTGCTGGGTTTTTAATCTCCTTATCCTTTCCTAATTCGTGCCTGATTTTTAGGGTGGGTGTCATCTGGAATCACAGATCCCATCAAAGACATGTCCCAGTGTCCCAGTGCAGCTTCCATTCTAGTGTAATTGAGGAGCCATGTCCCCGCTTAGCTTGTTCTTCCTGGGGGTATATATTCACCAGTCACTCAATCTTACGGCTCCAGACTCAGAGGCTACTCTCAACAAAGTCACACAGGATCTTACAGCCACAGCTCAGCAACTAATGAAAATAGTCTCAAACTGCAGCGTCCCTTCCAAAGACTGTGTTCTTCGATTCAAGGGTGCAAGAGTCTTGTGATAAATGACATGACCAATTTGTCAATTGTTCCAGTCAGAAATTTCAGCAACCTTAGCCTGCCAGGAGGGAATCAGAGAGGTGCTGCTGTGTATGACTGTGCTCTGAGAGGCACAGAGAGTAACAGATCAGACTGCTTCTGTGACAGAAATATCCCGTGACATAAAAAGGACAGAAATCTGGGAAGGCAGGTTGAAGAAAATGTACACAAAAGCACTTTCCCAAGACTAGATGGTTACTTTCTTTTTAACAAGAGCTCATCTAGGAAGTGCTTTCTTGGTATAGTGACAAGGCAATGCTTAATCATGATAACAATGATGGGATTAAAATTTTCTGGTTTGAGCCAGCTAGGGAGTGCACTTCTGGTAGCATATTGGACTATAGTGCTGGAAGCCACATGCCAGTCTCAGGTTCAGATTCCTGGTCCAGTAGACCTGAAACACACAAAAGATCCTGATGAGTTGGAGGGCTGAAGGGAGGAGATAACAACATGAAACGACCCTGCTGAGAGTAGATCTCTCTTCTCTCTCTCTCTCTATCTCTGTCTCTCTCTCTCTCGCACATGTACACACTCCCTCTTTTTTTTTTTTTTTAAAGATACTGGGACCAGCAGATAGCATAATAGTTAAGTCACTGGACTCCCATGTAGTCAACCACAGTTTGAGTCCTGGACTTAAAAATCATGCCAGGCACTTGTGAGTGCATGCCCAAGATCCCAACAGGAGAATGGGAGAAAAGGGATTATGATATGGCCATCTCCCCGCCCCCAACCCGGTGGGGTGTAACTTCTTGCTTTCTGTCTCTCTGGCTCTCTCTGGCTCTCGGAGAAGCACATATACCCTATAGCAAAAATCACTCTCTCAAAAAAAGAGATTAAAATATATTAGTTAACATCATTTTCATTGCCAAGATAGAACCAACAAAATTTATTAAGCAAGCACACAATTGTGAAATTAAGACAAAAACACCATAAATGTAAAGAAAAGCATGGATATGATGTTGATAAATATATAAGCATAATTTAATAATGAGTGAAAATACAGAATTGATGAAATTTTAAAATACTGAATCATAGGGAACCAGCAGTTAGCATAATGGCTATGTCGCTGGACTCCCATGTAGTCGACCGCGGTTCGCATCCCGGACCCGGTGGCTTAAAACTCACGCCGGGAGCGTGTGCGTGCGTGCCTAAGATCCTGGGAGGAGAATGGAGGAGAAGGGATTGCGGCGTGACCATCCCCCCGGGGGGTGATTTCTCGCTTTCTGTCTCTATGTCTTTGTCTGTCTGGCGAGCGCACACGCCCTATAGCGGAA